TAAAATAGGGCCTAGAGGGCTTCCCATGGCCACACCATCAATCTGGCGGTAAGACTGCTTTAGAAAACTGAAATTGATGTTCGAAGTGCACAACATTAAAAGTTCCTCAAGTTTTGAAATAGGTAAACCTACCTGCAGATGTTTATTTTCTATACGGTCACATATAATTTTCACAGTTTCTTCCAAGGGCACGTTTGTAAATAGTGATGTTACATCCATTGATGCCATGTATTTTTTGATTTACATTCATTGTGTCCAGTATTTCTGCCAGTTCAAATGAATCTTTGAGTATTTTGGGCTCAAATGATTGTCGTACTGGTTTTAGTAATTCCGCTAGCCATTTAGCTAAACCATGTTGAGCTGAGTTTATCATTGACAGGATGGGCCTAAGGGGCATTCCAGGTTTGTGTACTTTTGGAAGACCATACAACTGCGGTATTAGTGAGCCACACGGTGTGAGCATCTTAGCGGTAGCTTCGCTGATGAATTTTCCTGCCAAGAGTGATTTGATTACTTTCTTCATTTTCGCTTCCATGTTATTAACGTAATTTACTTTGGAATCCAGCAGAAATTTTGATTGATCAGATAATATTTCTTCCATTTTGGTTTGATAGTTTGACTTGTCCATCAGAACTACACTCAAAACAGCAGTCCGTCAAACCTTTTACGCAGCCATGCCTATTATGAGATTTAAAACCACCAGGATTCCTACACCACCAGTAAAAGAACCAGTGTCGACGTACGCCAGATCTAACTGTATATACCAATTTAAATGCACCTGTAACGCTGCATATGTGGGCAGAACTGATCGACGACTGGAACAACGGGTTGCTGAACATATTCCACTATGGTTGGTAAAATCAATGCAGAACACTAACACCTCAACAACAACGAATCAGGTAACTTGTCGAAATAATCCATCATCAGCAATTGCGTGCCATATTCTAAATTCCGGGCACATCATTAACAGGGATGATGCATTCCGAATTATTTACAGTTCGGCTAACCGTAGATTACTTCGATACGCGGAAGCTTCAGCGATTGGCAGATTGAAACCGGAACTTTGTAGGCAAAAGGAAATGGTCGTTGCCCTACGTTTACCTTGGTGAAACAATTTGAAATCTACTCGAATTTGTGTTTCAGTTTCTAGGATTCAGCTATTTGCTTCATTTTAATTAATTGTTACTGAAGTATGCACCTGATGAGATACAGCGAAATATGCCAGGCAATAAATTGTGCAGTCTATTGTTTGTGTCTTCTTTGTTCAAATATTTCAAATAGTCTTTAAAAAAAAGTATCCTTACAGTGTGACCAACGAAATGCACTTATAATTTTATAATGTTATACCCACATTTTGGATCGACTGTAATGATTATCCTACACACTTCCTCCATCGACTCCATGATACACTACAACAATGTCTTACAATCTTCTTCTTCGCGTTCACCAGCTTTAAACACCGGCCGAGTTCTGAATGTTGTGAATCTCTATCTGTAGCTTTGCCTGCTTTACCCATGCATCCCTTCCGCTGTTCCCTCTAGCACACCCTTCAGCAAGTGGGGGTGTCTTATTGCATGTCTTGTATACCACAAGCAACCATTTGTATCAACAGTTGTAAGACAGAAACGAAGTTGCTATATTGGACACATTTTTAGAAGAGACAATCTGGCTATAGCCAAACAGACTCTGAAATGGAAAAAAGCGGGAATGAGAAAACAAGGATGTCCAAAAGAAACCCTAAGGCTAACGTTGATGAGAGAAGCCAAAGGTACTGCACTGGATTCCGTCCATGACATTGAAGTGATTGCACAGAATAAGTGGAATGAGAAATAGACTGCTATCTCTACGTGATTTACAATGACACAATAAGATAATAAATGAAAAAATAAATCAATAAATATCAAACAAAGCCAAGCTTCGTTTTCACACTTCAGTATATGTAATATCTCTTTGTTTTCTTCTCCAACCATTATATTCTTATAGATAATTCATATCACGTAAATACAAATCATATTCCGACAGCAACAACCTTGCCATCACGTTGTTCATTCATTTGCCATATAATTAAGGTACAGTAAACGTAAATGTACGGAGCCGCTGCAGCGTTGCGGCTGCTCACTCACCTGCCGGTCCCAAGGTCCTTGGTTCAAATCCGCATCATGTCGGATGTTTTTCTGTTTAAACATGATCTTAGCTCCTAAGCTGAACCTGAATAAAATGAGTACCAGGTAGTCTCCTGCGAAGTAAAGACGAGCAGAGTGATGTTAGCATTACCCAATGAATGCTGATCTGTCTACACAAAATATACGTAAAATAGGGGGTGACTGCAGCCGATCTGATTGCAAGAAATTTTAAATATAACACACAATGTGACTAGAAAGCTCGACGGAGGGAATGGAAAAGACTCACACAAACACAACCAAACGTTTTGACCAAAGTTTGTCAACGGAGAACTAAATAAGGCACACTTTGGGATTGGAAAACTCAACTAAACATAACCCAAAATGTCTTGTCTGTTGAGTATTCCAGTCACAGTTTTTGCTATATATAGTATTCCGTTGATAAATACTTTGGTTTAAACTTTCGGTTGCGTTTTTGTGCGTCTTTTCCATTCCCTCTGTTCAGCTTTCTAGTCACTTTATATGTTATAGCATTCCCTACAAAAATTCGGTCAGACATAGCATTCCCGCTGTTCTTAGAAACAAGAAACCCACAAATGTAAATAAATATTGTAATATTTTTGTTGTTACATATTTAAAACTGCACTAGAAGAGCAGTGCCAATGCTCTCCTACCCATATGATCCCTCGCAAAGTATTCTTAAACGACTATATTACAAGGCGTCTATAAATTGTGTCTTTTTCTTTCTTTCTTTCTTTCTTTCTTTCTTTCTTTCTTTCTTTCTTTCTTTCTTTCTTTCTTTCTTTCTTTCTTTCTTTCTTTCTTTCTTTTTGTCTTTCTTTCTTTCTTTCTTTCTTTTTGTCTTTCTTTCTTTCTTTCTTTCTTTTTCCTCTTCCTTCTATTTTGGTTTGTTTGTTTTTAAATTAAAAGAATGTCTACAGTCTACTATATTAAATCAAGCAGTGACATGTCTATAACTGAGATCACAATCGTAGACTAATGACCTTAACATGACATACTGTCCCAAGTTTTCAGACGTCTAGTCTGGATCAATGTTCATCAACATCAGACATTTATAATCTTGATTCTCACTGATGCTTCTGAAATTACCATCACATCATTTATCTCTCCTTGCATCAAATTGTAATTACATATCATATGCCACTCAAAGTAAATGTATTCACACACACACGCACACACACACGCACACACGCACACACGCGCACGCGCGCGCGCGCGGGACAGTAGTTTAGATCTGATTATCACCTAACTATTAATAAACAAGAGCAGACGCATAGAATGAAAAAAATAAATATTACATGGAACCAGAGAGTGTCCTTTTATCCTCCACGTTTGAACTGTTCCCACTTCTCCAGTAGGGCAGGAACAGTGTACAGAATGGGGTTTGCAGCAGAATTGATGGGCAGAAGCAGAACTGTTGTCCAGGCATAAACCTGACTGCTGACCTCATGACCTCCAAGAGACATCAGTCCCATGATTCCCACAGGAAACCAGAAGAGAAAATTAGACAGAACTATAAGAGACAGTTGTTTAGCTACAGTTATATCTTCAGCTCGTCGTGAAGAAGGTATGCTAGTTGCTGTCTTAGATATTCTGTTCTTTGACATGGCGCGGAAGATCGCATATTGACCACATGCAACGAAGACAAACATGATCAGGTTAAGAATTATAAAAACTGCCACACAATACTCCCAACCTTTAGCATGTGTATTTGTTAAGGGAAGGCCGAGACACATTACGTTAGAAGAATAGATGTCGAAGTTCAATACAATGGGTACCAGTGAAAGAAGAAAACTTATCACCCAAGACATCACAACTGCGATAGTTTTGTGAGACCACGTAAACTTTATTTGACCGAATGGAAACTTCATCACCAAAAATCTGTCGAGGGTGATCAGAAAAATAAAAAATGTTGATGCTTCACATGAGAGACAGGCCATAAAACTAGCCATCTTGCATTCAACACTGTTCCTCCAGATCTTGTCATAGAGAACGTAACTGTCACGGTAGAAAGAATCGGCCCCAGCAATCATGAACAGATAGACTCCCATGATGAAATCAGATATACCCAAGTTTGTCACAAATAGACCGTATCCTGTCTGGAGAACTGATCTATCCCAGATCACACGATAAACAATGACGGTCACGTTCCCAAGAACTGCGAGAATTGCAACAATCCAGAGAAGAAATCGCTGAATATCAATTCCTAACAGGTTCGCACACGAGGAAATGGCGTCTACATCTACAGGAGCATTGCACGCACGAGGTGGAATAACTAACCCCTGAATCTGTGGGCAGCAAATCTGGGAAAGATCAGTATACAACGCCTGGCTAATTGTGAGATCATGAAATAAATAGTCGTCCAGATCTTGTGTGAGAATACCTCGTAAATCTAATGTCTGCAGTGTCAGTTTTGGAATGAAATATTGCCCCGTAAATTTTGAAATCAACGAATGACTCAAATTGAGATGTTTCAATCTGGGGAGTTTTGTGCGAACACTGAATCGTTTAGATGAGACAGACTTGTAAAAGAAAGATCAAATATTTCTAGAAACCTGAACCGTAAATGTCTCAGCGACTTCAATTTCCGATTGTGAGAAATGTTAAGATAATTTATGTGTTTGTAATAATAGTTGTATTCATCTTTTGCAAAGGCTTTAAATTTATTGTAGCTAATGTCTAGTTTCTGAATCACAAATGGTGGACTGACATCATCTGTGGGTAAAATCAACTTACTTATATTGCATTTAGACAAGATCAGAACTTTTAAATTCAGAAATGTTGCTGGTTTAATATGCGTGAACTTTCTATAAAACTTTACTCCTGACAAGTCCATGTATCTAATCTGTCGATCTATACCATAAAAATCGCTCAAGAGAAAAAGAGCTGATCTGTTGTAATCAGAAACCGACACTGTCCCAGCTATACATCTGAAACCTTTAAGACAATCGTCGTGGCAGTCAAGTTCATCATCATCATACGGGCAATCGGTATGCCCATCACAAACTAGGTCAGGATGAAGACAAATGTTGCTGTCCCAGCAAGCAAAATGTCCAATACATGGACCGGTGTAAAACGGTTGCTCGTCTTCTCCCATAGGACAATCAGCTCTTCCATCACGAAGATAATATAGAGGGATGCAGTACGAGTTATAACACTTCACATAGCCCTGACCACACTGAAAGTTCTCACAGTCTCTAAGATGTGACATATCTGTGCACCCGGCGATATCTCCGTATCTGTCTTTGATATAATGACATTTTGGAGCCCACATATTATGTCCGAAACTGTTCTTGCAAGCGTCTGCAGACTGTAGCTTTCCCATGGTCTTAGCTATAAAACCTTCAGGACCTTTACAGTCTATGACCAAGTCATTGCGCTGAGATTTGCCTACACACATGCCAGGGCCGCATACTAATGCACATCTCTGATTACTTACTGGAGGTTTGCTTTCGAAAAATCTAAAAAAAAAAATATTCTCTTCGAGACTAACTGTGTAAATGAAACAGTCAACTTGTACATTATTTTCCCACTTTACAGACAGACATGAGCCATCATAACATTGTTCAGCGTAACAATTTCTGTGATCGCAAAATTCCTCGTCGCTGTCGTCTCTACAATCCTTGATCCCGTCACATTTATATTCTTTGTGGTGCAGCCTTTTCCCTGACATGCAGTAAAATTCATTATCCTCAAATTCCCCAAATTCCCCAGGATCCAAACAAAATAGCTCATCCCGTCTGTTGCTACAATGATCAACGAAATCACAGACCAAGTTATAAGGAATGTATCTACGATCGCCGGTGTCTTCCCCACAGTCAAAGATGGGAAAGTCTAGGTTTAATTTTCTCAGAAATTGAAGAAAATTGGAGTTAGGTACGTTTGCAGACATGGAAATGATATTTTTTTCGTAGATGATAAAATGTTTATTTGTTATTGTGAAATTAGTGTGCCCTGGTTCTGGTATACTGAAGACAAAGTCAACATCATTAATCGTCCGAGGAAGGACAACTTCACATAGTGGTTGAGAGTTAAATTTGGAATGACAGTTAATATTTATCCATCCTTCACTGACACTGTTGTTATCTTTGTCACGTGTCGTGGTGTTTGTAAACTGCCACGCTACACAGTCCTCACCCTCACAGTCTCTACAAGGTTGACCAGGCAACCAATGATGAATTAAAAGAGGACGAAACTGTCCTGAACTGGTCACCCACTGAAATCGTTTCGCATAGTTACCTAAATCTCTAGTGAGACCAATATAAAAATTTATGTAAGGCAGGTTCAAATCATCTCTGACTTTTTTAAGATACGTCTTGAATTTTTTTAATAACTGCTTCCTTAAAAATAGCATTTCTTTTTCAGTTTCAATTCCAGCCAAACTTCCCTTAAAATGCCTTCTGCAGTAATCCAGTGCTTTTTGCCACGTAGTTATTCTAAAGCCTGAAGATATTCTATAGCAGGAGAGCATACTGAGTCCTGTTGTGTGTTTAAACAGGACCCATTCTGGTCCACACATTCCACACATCGCCATCAGTAAATGCTGTGTAAAAAAACTGATGTCAGTGTATGGGAAAACAAGAGTATCAGTCAGTTGTACAATGTCCTCTATAAGTTTACTACCAAATATCACTGTAAAGATCTTCACGTGTGAACTGCGTTGCTGTACAATGGAGGGGATTTTTCTGAATTCTTCTCGTGTCAAACTTTTACCATTAAGAAAGACAACCCCAACATGAACTGCATTATTTCTAACTCCCCTCATTTCAACAAACAGACGTTCAATAATTTGTATTTTTAGCTCCAGACGTGATCTGACATCTCTGATGGGTATCTCCAGAATGTCTTGATTTCGGACTGTGTACGGGTCCCAGAATATCCTATTTCTATGAAAGCTCCAATGGCTTACATTTATGGTCTCATTGTGAGCACTGAATTGGTCAACCACTTTAGCTACTATCCATTGTGAGTTGTTTTCCCTTAAAGAATGCATTATCAAGCTCAGTTCATGTATCAAAGCATTCTGCTGCATCCATGACATTTCTTTATCATAGTCCATTAGCGACAATACGTCCATGTCATCTGTGAAGCAACCGTTCAATGGAAAATGTCCCTGTGTTTTGGCACACATCACTGTAAGGAAAAGCACAAAAATATCATTTATGTGCACACATGGCATACTCATGAAGTTTTGTGTTTAAAGAAAAAAAGGCATGCAAAAACTCACTTCAATATATTAAATATAAACCGAATACAGATTCATACAACCATGATTGTGCATACGTATATCTAGACAGAAGTCCACTGTGCGTGGAGTCAACTTTATTTTTGTTCCGGGACACGCAGGCGTCGATGGAAATGAAAGAGCTGACAGGTTCCCTGGATCCGCTATCACTATCGACGGTCAGCCTATGGATCATGCTGATATTATATGCCCTCAGAGAAACGGGAAAGATAGAGGACTTTGGGTGCAGTGAATCCACATCACTCGCCAGAATGGTAGACTTGGGAATTAAGATCGGCATAGCAAAGAACGAGATGCACACAAGACACTCCAGAAGACTTGTTAATCAACATAGAACTAGTACTATTAGCCATCGGACGTTGGGGTTCATACTGAGGGGAGGATCTGAGCACCTATGGACATGTCCGGAGTGCAATGATGATAACCCAACTAACTAACTAATATCTAGACATCATCAGCCTATAGCAGATCCCTTGTTAAACATGGTTGTCATAATTAGCACAGTACAGATTCTCAGTTATCTGTCTCTTTCATTACTTCATGGATTGCCATGCTAAATATGTTTTCATTACCCAATGTTGACGCCCATGTAGGTCTACCCCTGCCTCTTCTTCTGAAGTGGTCTCATTACATTCTAATACTTTAGTGATGTTTAAAATCCTCAAACTTTTTAGCCCCAGTGAGACAATTTTCTAATAGTGAACATCACTGTTTGTTTTACATTTCATTTCGTTAGTGAACTATTTTCTCCCGATAACATGTGATTTCAACAGTTCTGATTTTTGCTTTCTCAAGAAAATGCTTGGAGACTTACAAGTGGTTGGCTAGAGTTGTCTCGAAGAAAGCAAAAAAAAAAAAACTATTATTAAACCCCACTATACTCATCATCATTCTGTAGCAGGTCGTTTGCAGAACGTCTCTCTCATCACAGTCTGCCTGAAAGAAACTCGGTCTCTCGCCAGTTCTTCCGCCTCATACACTTTCACATTCAAGGAGTCACCTATATCCTGTGCCCATCTTCGTGTCGGTCGGCCCCTGCCCCTCCTTTCTGGTACCATGCCTTCTGCTATAATTTTTTTCCATTCCGTCGTGGCGCTTGATTTGACCAAATTATTTAAGCTTTCAAGAAAGGATGCTGTTTATTAGCCAATCTTTCTTGAAGTTCAGATCTTTGGGGTCACTACAGGAATTTTTTTTTTTTTTTTTTTTTTTTTTTTTACAATGTTAGACCAATTATTTTATAATGGTCATTTGTAGTTATGTATGTTGATACATTTGTAGACTTCAAGTTTAAAAAAAAAAAACATGGTTGCTATGGAAACAGAGGCCATCTTGATGAAAAAAACATGTACCTACATAGCTAAAATAAAAAAATAAAAAAACAGAGATATTGAGAAACAGATGATTGATTCATAAATTTTAAACAAATGTTTAGAAAAGTGACTTTTAAGCTTTTTTTTTTTAATCTTAAAGAAGTGCATGGTTTGGTGTTTTTAGTATTAACTTGTCAATGCTAAATTGTTTACAAATGACACACATTTTGTGTGTAATCTATTCTAGGAATGTGAGTCCGATACAATCACGACATGTGTGCACATCGGGCTTCCAAACCAACGGAAGCCTGCAGCGATCACGTGAGAAGGGAAGAGTCACTTCTCATTAACTGTGTTACGGCTTTCAATATCACAGACAGTTGAGAAAAAGGACAAATGAAAATTATGCTCCTCGACGAACTGTCATCGATAGTCTGATTTCAGAACACGAACACTGACACCGTATGGCGAGGCACAAGATGTTGAATTTTGCAGCATCAGAACCAAATTACTTATTTCTATTTTTTTCCCCTTCAAATTTCAACATATGCCAGTAACAGATGAAGAGCCATTCAAGATATGGAGCGAAAGACAGTTACCTAAGGACAATGGCCAACGTTACGTATAATGAATTCCAAAGGGAGAACAAGTCAGAGAAATGTCGGGACAAGAGCTGCTGTCAACAGTTATGTGACAAAGATCGTTGCACTGTGCATACCGTGAGAAGAAAAGAGCAAAGAATCACTAAACAGGCACTGAAATGGGACACACATCGATAAGGAAGCCAGAATGTCCGTATGATCGCATGAAAGGCGGGAGGCCAAACGCGCTGGATAGGATGCGATCTACAAAATAAAACAAACTGCACAAGATTGAAAAGAATAGGATGGGGGGGGGGTGGGAGGGGGGAATGGTCGAGGGGGGGGGGGGAGGACTGACTTAGAGCACAAGATTAAATGGAATGGGGAGCGGAGGGGAACTGACTGAGAGTGTCACGTAATAGCTCACACCCCTTTCGTCTTAGATTCGTCTAGATCTTATCAGCTCTATGCAAATGAAGTTCTGTTTAAACGTCGACCTGCCTCTATCGGTATATAGTCCATATTTGGTAATTAGGTGTCTATGTGTTGAGTTACATACTCCAAGCGAATGAATCTCCTCCCACTTTCTTCGGGAAAGATGCCTAGGTCGAATTTATTCTTGACTGAGCTTCCAGAGAAGACACGCGCTTACTGTCTTTGTGCTGTATTTCTGTCTGTTTCTAGTGATCAGTTATGCATCATATGCAGGTTTGCAGCCTTACAGACATCCATCCAGGTTAGGAGTGAATACCAGAGTCTAAAGCGCCCAATCTCAAATTCTCCTGTGTCGTGACGCTCGATAGGAGTTGTCGGGAGCAGAATCCAGCTGCTGTCAATGCCGAGCTTTGCGCACTTATCAGTGACAAGTCAGATGAGACAGATGTGGTGATCTTCACTGACGGGTCTGTTATACGAGGACATAAGAGTACATGGGCATTTACAGCTTGCTCTTCAGACAGAACAGTTAAGGAAGCCAGCGGTGCCTTCTCGATGACCACCAGCAGCGTGACGATGGAGATGATGGCGGTGACACAGGCTTTCATGTGGCTGGGATCACAGGACCATTCCCGCTGTGTGTGCTGAGTGATTCTTTGAGTATGATCCGGCGGGTCGAGGCAGGCTGGTTACCCAGACAGTGGCTTGAGTTGTTGCAAAATTCTCCCGTGTGTGC